ATCACCACCACTGTCATACCATCATCACCACCACCATCACTATCATCACCACCATCACCATACCATCATCACCATCACCATCACCACCACCATCACCACCACCATCACCACCACCATCACCATTACCATCACCACCATTACCAACCATCATCATTACTACGATCACAATTACCACCACCAACACTATCACCACCATCCCCATCATCACTACCATTACTACCATCACCACTACCACCATCACCTCCCCACCCACCACTCCATGGACCTTCACCCCTGCAGCAAGGTTGGCCAGAAATGTATCTTTCTGTTTTACAAACGAGAAAACTGAAGACCAAGGGGTAGAAAATAAAAATGGCCGCCACCATTTTCTACACTCCTACTTTTTCCAGCCCTCATTTAAGTACTTTAGAAACTGTTCCAAGAACCCTGTGAATTAAGGACTATTATTACTCCCATTTTGTAGATGAGGAACCTGAGGCTCAGAGAGGTGAGGTGGATCAGGGACGTGGCCCAGGTCTGCTAACTCCCAGGCTGGCCACATCACCACCACTCACCCTGCCAGCACACACTGCTTGAGTCGGACGTGGGCTTCAGCTTTCACCCTCACAGCCTCTCATATGCACAAAGCTGCTACTGAAATCCCTCCCGTGGTCCACGTGACATTCCATGGGGCGCTGACACCCCTGATTCTTGACCTAATGATTCTTCCCTATTGGTAGTCAGAATATGCACCTTCTTGGAACCCTGGGGGTTCCATGGAACACCATTTGAAAATCCTGACTTAGTCCTTCCTACCCTCCCAGGTTCTGGACAAGGAGGGGAACGCTAGGGTCACACAGTGAATCAGTGGAGAAGTCACATTTGAACCCCAATCTGATGCACTCTCTCCCCCATCCTTCAACCCTGTGTCAATCTCTTGAATCTCATCAGAACCTTTGGAACATGAGCCCATGAAAGAGGAGGGCGGTGACCACAATGGCCATTGGGGTCAAAGGTCCTCTCACCATTTCAGACACATGCGGGATCCCCTCCACAGCCAGCCTTGCCCACGCCATGACTCCTGCCCAGAACACTGTTTCCTCCCTCTTCTCCTCCTGCGCCCCTGCCCCCAGCCCCATGTTTACCTCCAAAGCTCTGCTCCAAAGCCTCGTTCTCACCTTTGAACGCTTGGCACCAGGAAGCAAATAAATTTGTTTAAAGAATGGTAGTGAGTGAGAATTAATGAATGAATTGTTAGTGGGATGTCAAACAAGACTTCTCCTGTTGCCCTGGTATTACAGCTCAAACTTCAAAGCTGAAACCAATCCCCCACATTCAAAAGAAACACCCCAGATAGCCCCCCAGGAGAACTTACCAAAGTGGGCAGAACCTTCTAGCTGCCATCTCCCCAGCCCCATCAGCCTCAAGGCAGCAAGCTGTGGCTCCCATCTTGTTCTTGCGGGAGGGGAAGAGTAGGGGTACTATGGGTGGGGCTCCAGGAGGACCACTTGTACAGGGGGCCTGAGGAAGGGGGCCTAACACTCACTCCCTGGCAGTGGACCTGGGGGTCTTCCCTCTGGGTCTGTGAGAGAAGAAATAGGTGGTCAAGGGCAGGGGGCAGAGAGGCTGCCTGCCTCCTCAGGTGTGGGCTGTCCCGAGGGTTCTCCATCCACAGCAACTCCCCAAGAAGTAAGGAGACCAGGCAGCCAGGCAACCAATGCTGGGGGATGGCTGCTGGGTGGGTGGCTTGGGGAGCAGGGGCAGTCCCACCAGAGGGTACCTCCTGCCTCAGACACACCCACACAGGCCTGCCCTTGAGAGTCTGCAGAAAACTGAGTATTCTCTCTGCCAAAAAATGCAGCGCACACACACACACACGCACATACACACACACACCGTCATGCACACACATGCCCAAGTTTTTATACTCAGTTTCAGGGGAATCTGGGTCCTGGTCTGGGATGGCTCCAATTCTTACTAACTGTGTGACCTGGGGCAAATGACTTGACTTCTCTCTGTGCCTCAATTCCCTCTTCTGTAAAATGAGGATAATAATACTATCTACCTCAATAGAGTTGTTGAGAGGATAAAATCAGTTAATCTACACGAAAGTACTTAAAACAATGTGATTCACACTAACTACTCAATAGACTGAAGCTGCCTTCATCATCTCTGTGACCATTTCCACCACCATCATCATCACTATCATCAACATCAGCATCATCCCCATCACCACCACCATCCTCACCACCATCCCCATCACCACCACCATCCTCACCACCATCCCCATCACCACCACCATCCTCACCACCATCC